GCGAAAACTAGAAATAAGGTAGTAGTTACAGAAACAAAGACAAGAGAAGATGTGAAAATGTTTAAAAAAAAAAGTAAGCTAAGGCAGTGACAGGGAAAAGGACTAACCATACATAAGACTCGGGTCACTGGAGGGAAAGGTGAATCCACTCAGGTGGCATGCAGTTTTTCAGAGGAAGATGAATATTAATTTTTGGCATACATTAAATTTGAAGTCCTGGGAACTCACTTGGCACTGGTTGGTTTTCCCCAAGGAAGAGACTCTTAACAATTTCCACATATGAAGTTAAAGAGGTAGAAGATGAGAGATGACATCACAGAAGTTAAGAGGAGAAGTTCTAAGAAGTGGTCAAATATGAGGAGTGGAAACATTCCAGAGGGTAATAGATGCCCGACCACAGAGGAGCACTGACAGAGGAGCACTGACAGAGGAGCAGAGGGGGTAGTAGGAACCGCTGGAGAGTAAACAAGCAAATTCTCCTCAGCTCTGCGTCGATAGCTATGGCCAGCGCATTAGTGAAGACAGTCAGCTCTTATAAAATTAACTGCCAGGAAGACACGCACAATTGCACACGTCACAATTGCAAGGACAGAAGGAGACAAAAAGAATACTAATTTCTCATGAATCTGAACAAAAGGATGATGGAGAACTGAACAGAAAACATAGTCTGCTGGGTTTTTTCTTACTGTCTTTATAGACTATGGCGAAAAGTCCAAGTCAGGAAAAAGTATAAAATTAAAGTCAAAAGGACCAATAAAGCAGAAGTCTGGTAGGTTACCCACACCTCCACATCTGGCTCACTGCAAGTTTACCCTTTAGAGTAAGCTCAACTGTAACACATTTCCAGGCATGCTTTCCTGACGCCCTTATCACAAGCTCCCACAGACCAGGCAAACCTAGGTCCACCCACTGTCTCTCTCCCATCTCATAAACAGGGTAAGTTTTTAGCTTTTAATAGTTTTACTATTTTGAATTACAAAATTAACATACACTTACTGCTTAAAAAGAAGAAGACCAGACTGCTAAAGTAGACTATTTAAACTCTCACTTGAAGATAGTATTTAGATACTGACTTCCTCACTGCCTTCCTCAGAAGATAGAGTATTTGTTGTGACCAAAGTGACTACTTCAAATAAATGGTTGCTAAGTTGAAGAAATATATTCTCTCATATTGGGTGCCTATAAAACAATTCCATTTCTAACCATTTAGTCAATTTCCCCAACCATTTAGTCCACCAAAATTTTAACAGATTCATTGAACTGAATGTATGCATGTACCTTAGCTTTCTTCCCTAACTTTACTGAAGTCAAAGAAGAGCAAAGCAGTTTTTTTAATCCATACAGTAAAGAAAAATACTGGTAATGGCAGAGAAATTCCATCAAAGGAAAGACTGAGCAGACAGACAAGCACTAACTACCGGAACAACAGCAGCAACAGCAGAAAGATAAAAGCAAGTCACTGTGAAGAGAGAGTGCAGGAGCCTGGTAGGATCCCTGGAAACCGAAGACCCACAGCAGGGCTGTTTCCAATCAAGGACACAGAAAACTGGACACGTTTCTACCCTAGCTCCCTCTCATTCTGAGCAGTCAAGTCAGGGAGGACCCAGGGCCAGGGCCAGCAGGACCGAACAGAAAGGGTAAAACTGCGCTCTGTAGCTCAGTGTTGACAGCCCGTCCATCACAGGGCACAGTTTTGGCTTTCAGGGATTAAAGCACGGATTTGTGGATAATTTTGGAAAGACACCAAGAAATGGTATACAGTTATCTGAGGTCTGCAGAGTGACGGCCCTAACAGAAGGGCCAGCTGACCACAGTGCTGTAATTGAGCCCAGGACACAAAGTTGCTTATCGGCTTTATGGAGCCTCACTTTTAAAAAGGAAAGGACTGTTGGAATCACCATACCTTCTAAGAATACAGGCCAAAATAAAACTCTAACCAGAAACTCTTAGAAAGCAAATAAAAATGTTAAATTCCTCTTGCTTTTTTTTTTTTTTTTTTCATCTTGAGGGAAGGTCTCACACCGGAGTCCTGGCTTGAACTCAAGAAATTTTCTAGTCTCAGCCTCCTAAGTGCTTGAAACGGGTATGAGTCACCACACCCAGCTGAAGTTAAATATGACTAACAATCTTAGAACGGCAAAATATGGTAAGACCATAAAAAGCCAAATGTGAGAAAAAATGTGTTTGCTCCCTGTTGGCTTTTATTTTCTTCTTCTTTTATTCTTGTTACGGAGAGGGGCAGCAGCACTCGGCACTCCGAGGACACCTTCCAGGAGTCGACTCTCTCGTCCTCTCAGGTGCAGGAACAGAACTTAGTCATCAGGTGTTCACAGCAGGTGCCGTTGTCTGCTGAGCCACGCCCTTGTCCACATGTTTGCTTTTAAGAATAAAGCTGTCTGAGCGACAAGAGCTCACCAATGGAAAGTAGAGCCATGAGGTCCAGAGGACAGGGCGGGGGCAAGGAAAACCCGCTAGGTACTGAGGAAGGTGCCCACAACCATTCTGAGGCAGGCCTAATGGGGAAGGTACGAGTTGGCAGAGACTCTTTGTCTTCAAAGGCAAGGGATGATTTGGTAGAGAAACCAATATTAACACAAAATTTGTCAAGTTTGATAACTAATTGATGGATAATAAATAGGAAACAAATCAAAAAAATAGTAGGGGGCTCGAATATGAACTCTCTCTTAGGTTCACATTTGAACACTTGGTTCCCACCTGGTGGAGTTTTTAGGGAAAGCTGCAAACCCTCTCTGAGGTGGTTCACTCGGGTAGGTCTTGAGGCTCCACACTATGACCTCACTTCCTTTTTACTCTCGGCTTCTGAATACGGATGCCCACATCCACCTTCCTGCTCTTATATTAGAGATACCCATATGAGATACAACGCAATTCAGAACAAAATCCTTTAAAGCATGGAATTTGGGGCTGGCTCAGTGGGTACAGATGTTTGCTGCCAAGCCTGACAACTTGAGTTCTGTGGCATGAATAATAAAAACCCAGATATTGGGGTTCAACCAGAAGAACATAAAAGCAAAGCAGTCAGCCTCTGGCTCTTATTTCTACCTCAGACCGAAAATGGAGACCCTGCCTCTATGGTGAACTGTGTGGCTACTGGGATTAAAGGTGTGTGTCACCACTGCCTAGTCTGTAAGGCTGACCAGGGTGGCTGTTTTACTCTCTGATCTTCAGGCAAGCTTTATTAAAAAAACAAATGAAATATCACCAGAGTTCAATCCCTGGGACCCACATGTTGGAGGACCAATTCTTGTCGGTTGTCCTCTGGCCTCTATTCCCATGCCATGGCACACATGGGATTCATTCCATCCACACAGGCATACACACACATTAAGTAAAAAAGAAAAGAAATATGGAATTTGATTCTTGGAAAGATGTTTCTCAGAATGACATAAAAGAATGTCTGCTGTGAAATAGTACTATGTAAAGGTGGGTTACATTTGTTTATGCTCATTTGTTTAATTAAGATGTGTTGCCTTTGTTTAATTACATAAAGATGTGTTATTGTTTCACTTTGCCTGCCTAAGGCACCTGATTGGTTTAATGAAAAGCTGAATGGCCAATAGCAAGGCAGTAGAGGGATAGAAGGGGCTGGCAGACAGAGAGAATTAGTTGGAGGAGGAATCTAGGTGTGTGTGTGTGTGTGTGAGAGAGAGAGAGAGAGAGAGAGAGAGAGAGAGAGAGAGAGAGGGAGAATGATAGAGATGCTTGGGGCTGGCCAGCCAGGCAGCTGCCAGAAAGACAGACATGGAGTACAGCATACAAAATGAAAGAAAGGTAAAAATCCCTGAGGCGAAGGATGAGGAGAAACTGGTTAATTTAAACTGTAAGAGCTAGTGGGACTGATAAAAAGTCTCCATGTCTTGATTTGGGAGCTGACTGGGGTCAAAGGAAGCCTGCTACAAATGTCTATCAGTGAATGAACTAATCCAAGGCTAAGCTCTGCTACTTAATGACTATGCCATCCAGGGCAAATGGATTGATCCCCATGCTTCAGTCTCCTCATCTCTAAACCAGGAACAGTACTGTTATCTACTATGTGAGACATTATACTGATCACGTGATAATCTACACAAGAGTTTAGTACAATGTTCAATAAAAAATAAAAGTTCGGTAAGTATCAACAACTTTATTTGAACAATGCTATGACACAGCAATCAAAATGATAGCAATTCACAAACCTAATAGGTATGGTCTAGCCCAATCCCCCTAAAATTACTGTAAACCAAACATCTAACATATCTGCACTATAAACAGAAGTCTATCAGATTTAAAAGAATGTTTATCTCTAATATCACATAAAACAAATCCTAGATAAACCAAAGATTTGCAGATGAAAAAAAAACTGAAAAATAGTCTGGCGGTGGTGGTGCACAACTTTAATTCCAGTACTCAGGAGGCAGAGGCAGGCAGATCTCTGTGAGTTCGAGGTCAACTTGGTCTATAAAGCAAGTTCCAAGCCAGCCAGGACTGTTACAGAGAGAAACCCTATCTTGAAAAATCGAAAAAAGAAAAGAAAAGAAATGAAATGAAATGAATGGAAGGAAGGGAGAAAGGAAGGAAAAAATAATGAAAAGAAGGAAGAAAGAAAAGAAAAAAATAGCAAAACCCAATTTTCCTCCTCATTGTTGGTATTGGTTCCCTTTACTGCTAAGTAAAAACACTTTAAAGAAATTACTTGGTCAATTCCAGTTCTGTAAAATTTGTCTCTTCCATATAAAGATAAATAATAATCATCTTCACTGAACAAATTTAGTTTGAGCACAACTTTTGGTTTCTACACGCAAAAACATAGTATCATAGCAAGGCAGAAATTTAGAGGGGAAGGTTATGCAGCTATGATTTATCTAGTTTGATATTTTATTTCTTTACCTATGCTTCGTAGTGATGTTTGGTGTTTCAATATTACCTTCATTCTTATCTCTGGTTCTGTAAACCTTTAAAGCCAGATTAACAACAAACAGTTATAATTTATAAATTATTACCTTGGGTTTCTTATTTCTCCAAGAATTTCGTCCAACTTGTCAATGAAATTGATGAAGTCAGAGAGCCCTTTCACATGTGCCCGCAAAGGATCGGACGGTGACGGCGCATAGCCCTTCCCTCCAAGCTCTAGGGTTCTAATAAACGAGGTGGCCATCTGCGAATGAAGGTGGAAGATTCCACAGCTTTGAATGGTTTTTGAAAGTTAAATTACAATATAGCTAAGGAAGCTAGGTACAGTTATATAATCCTAGGTATATGGTTACACCGAAGAACATTTTATGGATGATGTCTCATTCTGAGGAGTGAATAAGCACAGCATTGAGTGCCATGTGGACCCCATGCTGGACAACCAGCTGCAGGTGAGACTGGATGATGAGGCAATGACGGAGAAAGGATGAAAAAATAGTCGCATCTGAAGAGCAGATCACTAACTATTCAGACTTGGCTTAGAATATAGTTTCACTTAAATGGCTAATTGGCTATTGAAATCATCACGTAGAAGAATTCATTTTCAATGTCAATGACTCTATTTTACATGGGTCAAAACCTTCACTTTACCTTTGCTAAGAAACAAGATTCGTACTGGACAATCACTGGATTCCAGCAAGTTTTTACATCCAGGATAAGCAGGTGAAAGTCCTATCTTTACACTGAGAAAAATGCATATTTGATAGCTATACCCAAGACATCTCCATCAAAAAGATACCATGTTCTCAAACAGTATCTTCCAAATTATTCTAAGAAAGGCACATTATGGAATATCAATAATTTGTGAAGAAGTTCTATGGTCAATGGTTTGAGGAAGAGCAACAGATGAAGTAACAAGGCTGTTCATAAGACATGAGAAAGTTCCTTCAGTGAAGGACTTCCCACAACCCTTGATACGCATGTATGCATTGTGTAACCAAGCAGCATATAAGCCACGTCTGAAGACTCTACCATTGGAAACACTTATTCAAGAAGAGTTTATCAAAGACAGGCACGGTGATACAAGCTTATCATGTGTCACCACTTGTGAGACAGAGGCAAGGGGACTAAGACTCTGAGGGCAACTTGGGCCACATAGTAAAGCACCACAAAATAAAGAAAGAAAAGAAGGGAAGAAGAAGAGGAAAATTGTATATTTATTTATTAGGACTAACAGCCTATAAAATATAATTATGTAGGGAATACTGCTAAAGAGAAATTCCCCCTTTGCTAAACTTGGAAGACACAGGAAAAGATAAAAAAGCAATGAATTTTCAAATGCAGAGGTAAAATATAAATTAACTACTTAAAAATTGTTTCATTATAATTACAAGAAATCTACATTAAAGGTCACTTCTCAAGGAGTTATAAACAGTCCTGAAGTAAGCATCCATACCAAAAACATGGACAGCTGTTTCTCTCGAGCAGCATGCTTCAAGGTGGTGAAGGCCTCTCTCCCCAGTCCTCGGTCAGGGATGTTGAGCACCTGAGCCAGAGCTAAGTCATTCTTTGAATTCACCAGCAGGCCCAAATAGGAAAAGAAAATTTTCTTCGCCAATAGCCGTACCTGTACAGTAAAGTATTCCGTTATTTTCTTTATTTCAGTTGTTCTAAACCTCTTTTCTCTATTCAGGAAGAATACATAGGATCTGTAATCACAGCTGTGCATCTCACTCCTTAGGCACAAAGAACAGTCAGACTAACTGGGGTCAAGTTGGATAGCCAACTTGATATTCTTTCTTCCAGTAATGAACTTAATAACAAGAAAATATTAACAATGATTAATGGAAAATTGGTCTTCAACATGATACAAAAGGTAGTTCATAGAGGCCTTTCTGCTGAGGTTTCATCTTATTTGTCTGCATAAGCCTGCCAGGAAATAATGGCTGAAGATACAGTTTCCAGAACCTTAGAGTGGAACCCATTCAGTCCCTGAACCCCAAGTCTATATCCCAACACCAGATACACAGCTAGAATTAAATGCTTAAGTTATTGAGAACTACTAGATAGTGACTGACATTATCCAATAACTAAAGATCAAAATGAATAAAACAAATGTTTAGAAAACAATAACACCTAGTGTTGACATTAACCTTTGAGAGCATAACAGATTTACTAAGAAATACGTAAGTTATATGAAAACATATTAAATATATATGGGAAAAATCTTAAGAATTACTACAAAGTTATAGTAAACAAGGCGGGGAAGTATATTCAAAAAAGATGCATACACCACCCGGGAGAACCTGGAAAGAATCCAGAGGCAGATGGACAAAGCCGCGGCAACAGAAATACAAAATCCAGGGCATCAGATCTCCAGTGTTCACACCAAGACAAATGAACCTCACCCAAAAGCTCACACCTTTTATGAAAACTAGCTCAAAATGGACCACAGACTTAAATGTCCAATATAGTCAGGCAACTTTTAGAACAAACCATAGGAGAAAATCCTTAAATCCTAGAGTGGGGCAGAGAACTTAGATTTGACACTAAAAGTACATTCAAGGGGGCGGGGGAGAAAGGCAAGAGAGAACTAGACCTCAGCAAAACCAAGCTCCTCTTATGGACTCTCTTTGTGTTCCTTTCCCTTCATCCATGACTACCTCCCACAGCTCTGGGGTTGTTTGTTTTTAGTTCTCGCTCTCCTAGGGTATGCCTGCAATCTTTTCTGCAGATAACAGATCTTCAGACTCTGGGCTCAATTCATAAGTACTTCAGGAACACCGGAAATCTGAAGCCCTGCAATGGATCATCTCCAAACTCTAAGAGAGTATTTTCTTTCAATTTTCTTAGCCCAGTGTAAGAGGTGGAATACCTCCCTGTGGACTGTTGGCCAAGGAGACCCCCCAACCTCCCAGAACTTACAGGCTACCACCACTGTTTCTGGTTGCCTACCAGAAGTAGATAAACAGAGCCTGCTGCTGAAGACACAGCACGCTTTGGTTGCAGGGCATGGAGTAATTAAATTGGAACTGACCTACTTGCTAGTTTTCCTAGTTCCAGAAAGTGCTATGCAGGCTACTAGAAGGAAAAGGCTGTCAGAGGTCTTACCTAGCTAGCAATGTATATGCTACAATACCGACAAGCTAGGAAAGATGGGCCAGAGGCACAAGGCACACAAGTGCGTTGAACATTAAGTGTGCAACCAGGCACTTTCTGACCCATATTACAGAAGGGAATTTGTGCCTGGTACCATAAACCTGTTCAAAAGTCCGTGACTAGGAAGGTTACGGGTCAAGAGAGGTGGGGAGACAACTATTTATGCTGTTTCACTAAATGCATATGGTGTCACGTTGTCAAACTACCGTCTAAATATGCATACAGCAGTGCTGCTCCCAGGCAAAGTCACAGAGTGTCTCTTTGCAACAATAGGCAATGAAGAGACTCAGAGCTGGTCAAAGTACTGAGAATAAGTGAGTGTTCGGCCCTAAATGAGACAGTTGTACAGGCCATCCCCCATTCTTTCCCAGAGCTCAGGGAACATCCAAGGAAAGGGAACAGGAAGACTGGAGGAGCCTGAGAAGAAGGCAAGAGTGTGAAGCTGTCTTCGGAGCCCACGCACTGACAGGAATGGTGGTTATCTCCACAGGACCTACACCCTCCAGCACTCCAGTACTGTGAAGCAGGGACACAGAGGACTCCCGCCCCAGCTGAGGAACTGTCAGCAGGTACCAGCCGCTGGAGTCAGAAGTATGGGCCCTGGTAAATAACCACACACCCATGGCCAGACAAGCGGCCATAACTAAACTCAGTAGGTTACTTTTTAAATGCATGAAATTAGGAGGGGGATATGTTGAGAAAGGTTAGGAGAGTAGGAGTGAATATTATAAAAATGCATCATGTGCAGTTGTAGGGGTTTGAATGAGAAGCCCGCCCCACCCCAGGCTCATATATTTGAATACTTGGCCCCAAATTGGTGGAAATGTTTTGGAAGGATTATGTGTTAGCGGAGGTATGTTACTGGTGGGGGAGGCGGGGGAAGGCTTTGAGGTTTCAAAAGCTCATACTGTTGCCATTTAGCTGTCTCTCTGCCTCCTGGTGGTTGTCTCAACACATAAGCCCCCAGCTGCTACTCCGGGCCACGGCTGCTGACCGCCATGCTCCTTGCCACAATGGTAATGGACGAACCCTCTGAAACTGAAAACTGTTTAGTCCCCATTAAATGCCTTCTTCCATAAGTTATCTTGACCAGAGAACGTCTTTGCAGCAACAGAACAGTAATTAAGAGAGCATATATAAAATTGCCAGAGAATAAATAAAAATTGTTTTAACTAATTTGTATCTGTTCTGTCTTCCCACATTAAAAATGTTGAACTGTAAAAGAAAACTCAATAGATTAAAAAATAAAATCATTAGGAAGACTCTTCTGGTAAATAGTAAGTGCGCAGATCCTAAGTTAATGTACATTTTAAAAGAAAATTTAAAGATAAGCTTTGGTTTATTTAAATATGCAAATGTAAAATAATTCTTGGACTTAAGAAACACTCATAATTAATAAAAAAAAAACTTAATCAGTGCCCACCCAACACGGCGGCTCAACTCTAACCCCCAGCACTTGGGAAGCTGAGGCAAGAGTATCACTGGGCATTTCAGGGCAGCCTGAGCTACAGTGTGAGACTATGCCTCACAAAAACAAAAAATAAAGGGAAGAAAAACTTCATAGGACAGACAAGGTTACTAAAATTACAGATTTTAGATAAAATGTTAACAAAATTAGGGCCAGGCAGTAGTACACGCCTTTAATCCCAGGACTTATATTTAGAGATCAAGTAGATCTCTGAATTCCAGGCAAGCCTGGCTTACACAACTTTCAAGGTTAGCCAGGGCTACATAGTAGGCCCTTTTCAAAAACAACAACAAAAAAAAAAAAAGGAAGAAAAACATCAAAAGAAAAAGAAAACAGCTCCCAAAGATTAACCCTGAGAGGGAGGTAAGGGGGACAGATGTTAATGCCCTGCTCACAGGACTGCTTTGCTCCCCTGGCCAGCTGACTTTCCCTCCCCGCACACACCATGTGTTCCTCCTAAAGCTGCCTGCCTGATTGACAAGAGTCCTACCACAATAAAGAAGGCAGTCCCCATCAAGAGAAGAATCCGCATGCATAAGCTACTCCCATGCACATTCCACCCCAGCTGAGGAGCTACTGGTGACAACTGAGGGCTTGGAGTCATCCTCAGGGCTGCAGCCCTTAAAGGGCTGCCCGTGCCCAGTGGATGTTCCTACACCCATGCTCACAGAGGCAGCACTATGTGGACTCAGTGGATCTAAATATATGTGTGCGTACACACACACACACACACACACACACACACACACAAAACTGGAAAGAAGAAGTAGGGATAGGGGTGGAAGATAACATATATAAAGCCAACCTTTAAGCACCCACACCTACTACTTGCTCTTTAAGGTTCACAGATTCCACTTCTCTGATCCAGGCCGCTGGGCAAACACTGGGGAAAGAAAGTATCTTGGAGTCCTCACAGATGAAGGGCTTCTTGAAACTGGCTGCAGCTGGACCTGCTTCCCTCTCATTATGGTCAGATAACATGGCACTTATGGTCTCTGTGCTCTTGTATGTGCACGTTAGTTTTTAAAAGGCTCCTTGGAAAAGCGGTCCATAAATGCAATTATGACATCCAGAAGCAAGAACGCAAACTGAAGGAATCCCCAAGACGAAAGCTTTAGCACAGCACCAAAAAATGAGAGAACTAATCTATTTGCTTAATACGCTGATTCTACACACCACAAAGTACTTGCAGTGTCTGTGGGCTGGACAGCTTTATTAACTTCGTCACTGCTTCGCACTTATTCCACTACTAAGATGCAAATATCCAGCCTTAATCTGAAATCAAGATTTTTAGATAACCACAAAAAAATTTACTTGATTTCCTCATTAAAAACTTTCCTTGCTAAGACATAAATGCTTGTGTATAATGGCAAATGACTGGACTGGAACTAATAAACTAATACAATTTTTTATTTGCTTAATGGCCAGGCAAGGGAATATTGTATATTTCACTTTGTTACCCCAGAATTTCTAAAGCAACAGTTTAACACCTTAGGGGGAAAATAGAGTAAAATAAAATAAGAAAATAAAGAGTATTCTTAAATTGATCTTACAGTTCCATGAGAAGATTTTGATGTGCCATTAAGAAATGTATTTGACAATCAGAACATACCTCTCCAAGGTATATCCCCAAAAAGTCATGTTAGAATTTTAAGTATGTCGACTTCTAAAAATGCCTTATCAAGCATGAGCCTAAACGGTCCCTAGAAAGGAAATAAAGCACCCTCAAGAGAGGGAAGATGATGTCAGCAGGGATGGAACCAGCTCTGCAGTTCACCAACATGTGGAAACAGAGAAGGCACAGCCAGTTGAGGGTTCTGGAGACACCAAATGAGAACTGTGTGACTTTTGGAGGCTGAACAGTATGTGAAAGTATTTTTTACATCAAGTTCTATCAAAAGTAGTCTGTTTCGATCTTTTTTCACATTTTGTTTTGAGCTATGTGCTAGCACACAGAACCCTTCGCCACTGTGGCAGAAGGTGCATGCGTTCCTAACTATTTTTCCAAAGCTGACTTTACTGATGTGCGGGAGAGCCTCCCCTTCCGGATCGTCCTGAGACTCTCTTGACTCTCACTTGACACAAATTCCTTGGGATGTGGCATGTTCACCTTTGTGTCTTCTTCCCCCTTCCTGCATCAGCAAAGAACTCCCTTGAGAGCAGAGATCCGTTAGGGCCTGATTCCCTGAAACTGGCTTTAGTAGTGTCAGAGATGGCGTGCCTCCTCGGGACACTGGGTCCTTCCCATACTGCTGTCTTCAGACTGGTGGTTGTGCCATTCTCACCCACTTTCTGAAAGTCAGGGTCAGTCTGAAAGTTTAAGTTTAGTGTGGAACACTGGCCTGTTCACGGTGTTAAATGAAGCCTTCATCGGACTTTATAGAAACATGCTCTCTCTGTCACCCCAAAAGAAGGCTGAAAGTTGCATGCTGTTAACGACTGCCTACATTTTACCTGAAATATCATGATTAAAGAAAGTATATTAATAAGTGGAATATAGCTAGCCTTGGAACAAAATAGAAAAAGGAAATATAACTCAAGAAAGAAACTACCATTTTTTAGTGTGTGTGTGTGTGTGTGTGCGCGCGCGCGCGCGCGCACGCTACACTTGTCCACATGGGCTTGGGATGGAGTTCAGGATCTCAAATCCAGGGCCAGTTACTGGTGAAGCACCTGTTCTACCACTTAGCTACACCTCAAGTCATGCTCAGTATTTCCTAAATAAAGAAACCATATGGATACAGTGAAATCCCAGCTATCGTCCTTTGTTACAGCTATCCTTTGGGGATACTGGTTTATATCTTTAAGTCAAAATGAGAAAGCTTATCTGTCCACACACCTGACAGTCCTCTTTCTTGAAAGAGTATAACAACAGTTACTGTGTCCTCCTCACAGAGTTCCAAAGAGAGAACAGAGACACTGGGCTGCTGAGGTACGGATAGTATTCGTCATCAAGTCTGAAGACCTGAGTGTGATCCCCGGATCACGCGTGCTGGTAGAAGAGAGCCAACTCCTACAAGCTGTCTTCCGACATCCGCAGGCATTTCTATCACACACTCACACACACACACACACACAGTTTTTAAGAGAATCATCAGTGACAAGACTCTGTTCTCATTTGATACAAACATATATGCTCATTAAGTAAGAAAATTTTGGTTAGCATTTTGCAAAAAATTAGGACAAGAACAAAAAATAAAGAGAAAGCAAGTAGAAAACAAATAATTTTAAGCAAGAGAAAATAGTAATAAAATTACTAAAAAGAACCTGGTATTTGGAAAGGAACATTCATGGTAAGCCTGGGATTTTCATATACTAGAAACAAGAAAATACTCAGACTTATAGGGCACATGACAAACAGACCCTGGAGCTACCTTAACGGGGTTCTCAACTGCAGTACTCAAGTATAGCAGATCTCACAGCACTGAACAGACAGAGACAAACAGGAAAGTGGATGTCTAGTTCACCTCAGATGTGGCTCCATCTCACCCACCCCTTAACTGGTAGGAAGTTTAAGCAATCAGCTTCACAACTTTAGAGAACTGTTTTATCCCATTAGACAGAATAAAGCTCTGGGTGACTGAAGGTGACTAATGAAGATATTACAAATTAAAAAAAAAACCCTCTGGGTTCTACAAATGCTGGAAAAAAGGCAACAATTGATCATCATGGCATGTATTAAAAAAACCCATTAGGTAAAAGGTTGCTGGGAGGCAGGATTACTGCTGCTGCAAAGCAGGGCCCTTCGCACAGGTCTTTGGTGATGACAGCAAAGTGGGAACTAATTTTTTATCCTAGGGAGATCTGCCAGTTCAGGACAGCCTGAATTTCTGTTTCCTAGAGTGACGCAAAACGAAATATTTCTTATCAGTCACAAAGTATTTTTTATAAAATAGTAACACCAAATATTAACTTACAGCTTTTAATCAGAGACACAACAAACTTAGGGACAGTAGAGCATTAAGTAGATAAAGGAAAAAAATAAAATTAGGGAAGACTGAAACAGTCCACAGAGACACGTAACTACTTTAGGGACACAGAGAAACCAGACATGTGCTTATCCTTCATTTTCACACAGGAGTTTCAGTCATACACACAGCACAGGGTTTGGGAATCCTGAATAAGACAGGAAAAAGGAAGCACGGAAGGAAAACCAAGTGCATTGTTAAATCCAGGAAGCGAGCAAGCCTTAGCTAGAAGCAGCGAGGGTCTCTGCTCTTTAAGGCTCAGCACCAGACTTCAGCACAGTCTCAGCACTGCTTCCTGACAACTTACCAGAGAAACTCATCAAATGTGGTAACCTTACTGGAGTAGACAGCCATGAAAGGAGATTTCAAAAACACATTCAATAAAATTTTACTGATTTTGCCAACATTCTTAAACTCTCATCATGGTGATTCTATTAAACACAGAAACTTTTATAAACCCAGCTCATGGCTAGTTAAGGCAACAGGTAGCTAGTATAATACTCAGCTGTGGGTAAACCTCATTAGTTGGGGTAGCATGGACAATGTACCCTGCCATGAGAACATTATCAGCTGCAGAACACATCCTCTCAAGAATCAACCATCTAAAACAGCAGATGTGAATTTTAATTAATAGAAAGTTAAAAAGATCAACCTGACAATATGAAACATAACCATGTCTCCGGCACTTAGGCTGTGCCTGTGCTTGCTCCAGACTGAAGATGCGGACTAAGATGGCTTTCACCAGTCACAGTGTATTATCCTTTGCAGACTCGGCTTTATTTAAACAACTTTAAAACGAGGGGGAAAAAAAAAAAAAAAAAAAAAAAAAAACAATGATAACCGCAGTGAACCAACAGACGGATGATCTGAGGGAGTCACATCCTGGTTAACTGACAACGAACTGGTACCTTCTCATCGTCCTGTCTGCGTTTCACCGGGGATGCAGGTACCTGAGGATCACTCTCATCGTCCACTGCCCACTGTGTGCCAGACAGAAAGTCCCGGAGCTGACTCTGTAAACAATACACAGTATAATGAAGGTCACAGGAAACAGAATAGCATGTTATATAAGATTCTGGACAGTAAGTGTCACAGATGCTCCAGGACAAAGTGTTGCTTGACATTTGTGGATAATTATAAATAAGCATAACATTTTCCTCTACATACTTTTGCATATTCTCACAAACCCTTTTAAATGAATGATAAAAAAATTTACTATGGATGGGAAGGAATATTATTTTTAATCTTTTGCCCAATAACAATAATTCAATAATAACTTATAACTAAATAAATTTATAATATTTAATACAGGAATTTTATCAGCTCATATCTACGTATGTATCTTGTCTCATTAATATAGCCTAGAACTTAGATTTCTCTTCAGTTAACAGTACTATTTATTATGACATATACATTTTTATTTAGTTATACCCTCAGGTGTTTTTCCTTCTGGGACTACTAGCATCTTCATGTCAGGACCTGTAGCTCTAAGTTCTTTAAATTTATTGTTTATTAGGATATTAAATTTTTTTATTTTTTATCAAAAATTTCCACCTCCTCCCCTCCTCCCACTTCCTTCCCCTCCCCTCTCCCCACTCCCCCTCCCCATTCTTCTCCAGGCCAAAGAGCAGTCAGGGTTCCCTACCCTATGGGAAGTCCAAGGTCCTCCCCACTCCCCCCAGATCCAAGAAGGTAAGCATCTACCAGAATTAGGATATTAATTTTTGTGTCAATAAGTCTTTTGTATTGAGAAATCTTTCCTCATATTTTTCTCTGAGTTGTCAAGAAAAGTTTATTTTTCATAAAATTAGAAGGAATTACTTTGAAGTATTTGCCTTTATATGATTACATAACAAGTTATTGTGTCTTCTTATGTTTATGCTTTATTTGACGAGTTAAAAGACTTCTATCATTTTATAACCTGAACAGTGGTTCACACAGGAGGAAGTTCATAAAGGTCACAGATGGTGAGGCATCTTCCACGGTAAGTTCCCACCACACACACAACTGGCGCAGAGGAAATGCTGTTCTAGCCCCGTGACTGCAGCTGTCAGCCAGCATCAAGCCCATTGGTGGTGGATTTCCTGCTTGTCCCAAGGCCGGTAACCCTTCAAAACATGCCTCTAACCTGACACGAGAGGAGGGAGAACTTTCTACCCTACCTGAAGTTTAAAAATAAACCTCTCCCGCCCCTGGAACGTCCTAAACCATATATGCCCTTGGCCTCTAGTGGATGTTGTTCTTTCAACTCAGTTTTCAGTGTCTCCCAGTCACGGTGCTTTCCCTGTCTACTCCAGCATCTCAGAGAAGAGCTGGCACTCCTGCCTACCCATGAAGACGGGCTGAGGGAAGGAGGAGAGAAAGGATGGGGCCGGCAGGTTAGGGTGCTTAACGGTTTTACAATAAAAGAACAAGTGTTTGGATAAAGTGAGTAGTACAATCATTTATAAGAGCAATGCCAGCTTCGTATTTAGTGGACATGTGTCCAGAATGACAAAAGTCCGTGCCCTTTGTGGAGATCGGAGTTGGCCTCTGGTTGGTCTTCTGTACTGAACTGCAGCTCCTGGCTCACAGGTCTCTTATTCTCGATTTCAATAGTGAGGTGGTGCTGCGAGGCCTCCTCGAGGTTCTGAAGCAGGCGCATTTCCCACTGCTTCACCCGCTCCATGGCGGCTGCCAGCTTCCTTGGGTCTCGTCTCCTGCTGCGAGTTTTGTGGAAAACCTTGGGAAATGTCGAGCTCGGAGACAAGGCTGCAAGAGACTGTTGCTTCTGCCGAGGACGTTGGGTCAAGCGGGCTGACACAGAAGCTTCTTCCGCGGGAGCAGAGAGATCCCGGCAGGGCCTTAACGGCACACGGGGCCGCTTGGAAGCCCTGGAAATTGGCTTCCGTTTCCGAGTGGCGGCTGCGGCGTTGACTTCTGCCGTGCGGATGGGGATGCCCTGGGAAAGGCGTGAAGACATCAGGAGTCCACCTTCCGCACTCTTTTCACAAAGGCCACGGCTAAGGGTAGCTTCCTCAGGAGTCCTGTGTTCTCTTTTTAAGCATGGCCTCATCAGGATAAAAGAGCTCTTGGACCCAGAGTTCAAGTCAGTGCCTTCCGTGCAGCCTTGAAAGTTGGAGTGCTTCTGCTGGCCAAAGCCGTTGCTGACGTCACTCACCACTCACGAGATGCCGAAAGCAATTGTCTTCTTTGTTAGATACCCTGACCACCAACAGAAAGCAACTGTTGATCTTGCCCAGAGGATCCACAGATCTCTGGGCCTAAGTTCTTCTGAGAGCTACACTTCTGCTGGTCATAGCCTCTGATATGGTGATCTACATACTTCAACTTCATGAAAAACCCAATCTGTCCCAGCTCTTTCTCCTTGATATTCCAGCTAGAATCCAAAGCCTTCTATGCTCCCAGATGGAGAGGAAATAAACTAGGGAGTAAAGGTTCAAGTTACCACCTTTCAGAACTACCTCATCTTTATCTTAATTCCCAATAATCTCTGCATTATTTAAGCTCCAACAAATAAGAAACAAAGTAACCTTATGAAGGCCATGAAGATTCAAGAGCATGAAAATCAGGACCATTTGGAGTATTCTGATATGTAACTTTAAAGAAAAATACAAATTTATTAGGGTTACATTTAAGACCCTTTGGTTAAAAAAAAAAAAGTCAACCCAAAGTATGTTTTGCTGTATAATTTTGTTGTTAGGGGAAAGTTCCTTGGAGAAAACCTAAATATCAGAGACTGAGTTTTAGAATTCCTTTTGGCAGCTTTGGCTAATCTGTGGTGTCCTCCGGAGACACATTAACATTTGCAGGCAATCTCCCATATATATATATATGTGTGTGTGTATATATATATATATATGTATATATACACATATATATATATATATATATATATAGCCTGCAAAGAGCCGTTACAGGCCTCTGCACAACGTGGCCCTGTGGGAGGGAACCCACGGAGGAAAAAGCAAGGGGGAAACAATATGCCCAAGGTATCAGACACGCTACCGTTGCCATTTCTACAGCTCAGTGCTTAATCTGACTAGCTCTATATGTTACCTATGGAGAGCTAGTAAAAAATCAGTCCTATAAGCAAGAAAATTTAAAAAATCAAATCCCAAGGTGTTGCATGTGGACACCAAAGAAGATGTGTGAACGTGGGCTTGAAGAACTATAACAGGGCAGGAATTAGTAGAATGCATGAATGGAGAAAAGGCCACAAGCTGCCCAGTATCCACTCTTGCTTAAAGTATGATGGCTATCACCTTGGCACCTTCTGCTCTGATCAAGACCACACCCCTTCAACCATGCTGTAAGCAATGAGACTGAATAACAGAGTTGTTTTCCTTAAAAGAAGTGCTCCATCCTCCAGCCCTAACGCCTCCTGCAAGGAACACCGCAGCAATGTTGGAACCTCAACAGCTACCTTTGGCCATTTATAGGGGAGTGAAACTAACTACTTTCTTTAAGTACATTTTATAGTACAGATTTCTATTACAATGAACTTAAATACTTTCCCAATTATCATATGAAAAGGGATTAATTAGTATCTCACAAAATATAGTAAATATTCCTAAGTCCAGATATAATTACTCAGTCATTATCAATCTTTACTTCTTTATTTGCACACACAAAATATTAAAGTACTTTCAACACTCAAAAAATAAAGCCTACACATATACAAATAGATTCTAAAACTGTTAATCAATTCTAATATAAACAAATCTAAGAAACACTATAGTTTCTAAACTTTTACTCTATTAAAAATAAATATGCTTACACAATGAAGTCTATTATCTCATAGATATTATATTATTCTATTATCTAATAGTGATATACACATGTCTATCTAAAAAGATACTAAATCATGTAAAAGAACTATAATAATCACTTTATACAATACACACAAACAAATGTACATTCAACAAGGAAGAAAAATGTTATAGACAGGCAATTTTTGATCTAATTCGATAGAAACCTGACATTTGGAACTTAATTTCTTTGTCAAATTTTTATACATTAAGAAGATTTTTCTTATATCAAATAACAATATCACAAGTCCAACAAAACTTATTAAAAATATTTCTTTCAAGTAAAAACTAGCCTTTAGGTATCTTTCCATTTTTAAAAAGATTTAAAAAGTAAAAAAAAAAAATCAACTTATTATATCTTTTGCTTCTACCCAGTACATTACTACTGAAAACAAAGAGTCCAGCCTCTACACTCCACCACATTTTTAAAACTAGTAACTCTATAGTGTAAAATAAATATAATAGAGCTAAACTTTAATTTGATTAAAGTAGGATTATTTTTAAAATACTTACAGAGGATATCATGTTATTCTCACAACTGGAGGTCAAGTTGCTACATTTCATATAGACATCAATCAGATCTAGCATATTACTATTCTTGAAGAAATTGTCGTACGTTTTCTTAATGTCTTCATAGTGGTCAACCACTTTCATGTTTTCCGTGGGCAAGCTCAGCTTTTCATGTAAGAAGTATTTCCATGTCAGTAACACATCACTGAGAGAGACTGCAAATTCTCCACTGTGCTGAAGGAGAGGCAAAAAGAGGGAAAAAAAAAAAAAGCAAAGAAAGAAATGATAAATATGAGTGCTTAATACTTGGACATATTTATCTAGTGGCTTATGTTTGATAAGAGAAATACAAATAGCATGTGTTTATAGTAAATCAGTTTTGAGAAGCTGATAAAACAAATATAAGCAGGAAAGTTTGCAAATAAAAAAATATGGTGAATGGGGTCGGGCGTGGTGAAGCACGCCTTTAGGCCGGACGTTTGGGAGGCAGAGACAGCAGAAGCTCTGGGTTCGAAGTTAGCCTGGACCACAGAGCATGCTGCAGAAGAGCACAGAAGAAATCCTGTTTTGAAAGACAAAACAAAACAAAAAAATAAATGAAATAAAAATTTCACGAATGTATAATCAATGTTTCAACTTTCAAACTCCACTGCATCTTTTACTCACGGTAAAAGGATGGGTGCGCAACCCAAAGCGCTGAGCTAAGGTGTTTCAATCTCTTCTGTATCTCCAGTGCCATGAGGAATCCCACCTGGCAACAGCATTCTAAGTGCTGGCTTTAAAACTCAGCCACAGTGTTCTGGTCATCATTGTTATGACGTATGTTTTGTCATTATTACAGAGGAAGAAAGAGATCAGCGCAAAACTCAGGGTCTGGAAAGATTTTTGTTTCTTCCCTGGTCCTAAATACACTAAATTATAATAACTTAGTGCTAAAAATCAAGTTACGCTTCTCCCTATGAGCACTCAGATGCCATTGGTCAGGCAAATTTATTCTTCTACATTTGGCTTCTGTTTTGCTTTGTTGTTGTTGTTTTATTCCTGAAACAAGTCAAAAGATTGTGATCTGACTACACAGACATGTGGTTGACAAGAGACCCAGCAGCACTGCCTACAGGTGCAGGTCAAGAGTCACCTCGTGTAAAGCTTTCCTTGAAGTGTCTCCTTGGGCGACCATGTGACACATTTTCAGTGGACAAGCAAAAGGCTTGCTCTGTATTCAATGCATTTTCCCCACATAATATGCAGGATATTAACAATGGCGCCTCCCCAAAACACCAGCCGTGACTCATTAAAAAGTTCTGACTTCTCATTTTTAATTCAGCATGAATAACAAATATGTTTGAGTATCCGTATGTGGGTCTGTGAAATGTAACATGTGCGGGCTTCGCAGTCAAGTTTCTTCCAGCTTCTGCTCACACTAAGACCTACTGGAGCTCCTTTCAAAGATGACAGTAATTACGTAGTTAGCTACTGTTGTTGTCTGGGACTAAATCTTACTTAATCAAGAATAATACAGAGTGATCAATACATTCAAAACATACATTCTTATATATATTTGAATTGTTAAAAATCTGTAGCTTTATCTTTTATAAAAGCATATACGCTATTTGAGATCCAGATTTAAAACATGATTAAAATGTTTTTTAAAACTTAATTGTTTATTTACCCATACTGAGACAATAAATTAGCCCTATTGTCTTAGAATAGAAGCCTGCTATATCACAAATATTTAAGTCAACTGTAATATATGAAGCTAACTCAATGACCCCTACCATTAACTCTCAAGGTTTACCATAACCCAAACATAAGTCAGATAATTTCCCAGCACCATATCAAAAATGAGATATTTTAATACTTCCTAATCCCTTAAAGGTTATAATCTTAAATACACTTTAAGTAATATAAAACAAATTCAGTGAGTTTCAACACTAAATTTGTTTTTTTCTCAAAAATTTCTAAAAATTATTATTACTATGACAATCCTTTATACTTGGAAAAAATTAAGGTTTCCTCACTAAAGTAAACATACAACTTATTCTCATTCTGTCGACTAGAGATAGTTGAAGGGAAATTATGCAAGCTCACGCTCTTATCTGTTACTAGATTAAAAGTGTTCATACTGGGACTGTAAAAAAAACTGCATTAAAGCCAAATAAAATGCTGTCCTGACATTAGTTTTCATTGGGTGCCCATCAAGACAGATTACTCTATGACTCAAACCAGTAACAAATCAGACAATGTTTTGCTTGCTATGAAAACATGCCAGCTGACTAATGTACGAAGCAAGTTCAAACTCTTCAGTTCTTTAATTCTCTTATGGACATGGGTTATATTTCATAAGGATGAAATGAGAAGTGTTAGAATTTCACCTCTTTTTGAGAATGTCATATATAAATACTACATGTACATTATTCCTGTCCCTTTCCCTGCTCTAACTCCTCCTGTGCACCCCCAAATTCATGACCTCATCTTTATTATTGTTACATGTACATAAGTGCTGGCTAGTCTTATGTCAACTTGACATGCAAACTACAGTTATCTGAGAGAACCTCAACAGAGAAAATGTCTCCCTAAGATCTAGCTGACGGGCATTTCCTTACTTAGTGAGTGATGGGGAAGGCCCAGCCAATTGTGGGTAGTTCCATACCCAGGCTGCTGGTCTTAGGTTCCATAACAATGTAGTATGAGCAAGCCAGGGGAAGCAAGTCACTAAGCAGCACCCTCCATGGCCTCTGCATCAGCTCCTGCTTCCAGGATCCTGTCCTGTTTAAGTTCCTGCCCTGACTTCAATCAATAATCAGCAACAACATGGAAGTGTAAGCCAAATAAACCTTTCCCTCCCCAACTTGCTTTTTGACCATGGTGTTTCATTGCAGCAATAGAAACCCTAAGATAACACACATATGTATACACAACCTAATAAGTCCATTTAGCATTATTTGAGTGTACATGTGTGCAGGGGAAGTCACTTGGTATAGAACAAGCTGTGCAGAAGCTCGCCTCTGAAGAAAATTGATGGTCCCTCTCTCAAAAGTCTTTGACTGTCTAAAGCTCTTGATCTAGGGAAGAGATTTTTGGAATTTCACCTCAACCACATTGGCACGTCAGTGTTGTAATTAGCAAATCACATTGTTGAGATTTCTGGATGCAGCTTCCCTGCCAAGCCGACAGGACACTATCAAGTGGAACTGCATATTTTAGGAGCACTTGCACTCTGGTTATACCTCAACATTAGTTTATGATGGCTCTACTTTTAAATAAGATTCAAAATTTAAATTAATTTGACTTCATTTAGCACCATTAGAGAAAAGAGCATTGGTTAATTCATTCTGTGAACTTGGTTATGTCAGATATCCCAACTCTGTTTCTCTGCTTATAAAATAATGAATAAAATAATATTGTACATTTGCTTTTGTCTCTTTCCCCCTTCAAGGTAAAATAATTCTTGAAACGGTGGTTGGTAAATGTATAATTGTTAAACCTGCTGATTCTGGTTTGTTAAGTCATCTTTAAATCTAACAGTCGACCGTGGGTACTCTAACAATTGCTTTGTATGAAGTTATTAAGTACCTTTACTTCATGCCATGAAACATAACATGCTGTCACCTTATATAAGGTGACAAATACACTATTATAGAATAACTGCAAGACAGACTCGAACTGTGAAGCCATGTCTCAAGAAAAGACCAAAACATTAACTGCTCCCCAATGGAATCAAAGGCATTTGCCATAGCATGAGAGCAGAGGTCCTCAGTGTGGAGCTGGGGGAGATGGAGGAGGGGGCGAGGCCTTGCTGTGCAGGGTGAAGACTGAGCTGGAATACAGGCACCACGTAAAGCTGGGCAACTAGCCCTGCCTGTCACCCGATGGGAAAATACAAATGAAAAACTGCCAGTTGAAACAATGACATTTCATCTTACATCCTCTAGAAAGGCCATCGAAAAAGATGAAATGTTCTTCACTTCTCCCCTTCCCTTTCCTCCCTCCAAATGTAATCCTCTGCCTTTCTTTCAAAATGAGGGCCTCTTTTGAATTGTTCTTAAGACTGATCTTTTGAATTGTTCTTAAGACTGAGCGAGTGTGTGTGTGTGTATGTGTATATGTGTGTGTGTGTGTGTGTGTGTGTGTGTGTGTGTGTTCCTAAATATATAAAAACAACCTGTTGTCCGTATAATGTTGCATGTATTTATCTTTTCAGGACTGATCATTTTATGAAAGAGAACTTGTTATAAGTCATGGTGTTCTAAATGAGAAATGTCCTTCATCGGGTTACGCATGTGAACACTTTGATCCCTGTTGGTGGCACGTCTAGGAGCATTGCTGGAGGAAACCTACCATCGAGGATGTGCTTTGAGAGTTTATAGCCTCACCCCACTTCCATTTTACTCTCTGCTTCCTGCATGAAGAAGGAGACAAGATTCTCATCTTCCCGCCTAGGGCACCTGCTGCCAGTACAGACTCCCCCAGCCCTGGAAGCATAGGCCAAAAGAACTCTTCATAAGTTGCTTCTGGTCACAGCATCTTATCACAGCAATGAAGAGTAAAGGAAACAAGGGTCTCTAGTCTGATTCCACTAAAAGGTCTTTAAGGTGTAATACACACACAAGCAGAGAAGACTAACACTAATATCGGGTGCCGGATACCATGACGCATTTAAAACAGTAACAATGTGTAAGCATGGCAAATGTGAAGAATCTGTGAGCTGACATCGAGGGAATCCATGGACTATTCCTTCAACTTTCCATCAATTTAACTTGTATTTCCAAAGCACTAAGTAAAGTGAGTACTGCTTCAATCTATTCAACACACCTATATGCAATGTTTGCTTAATAGCTATGGCTAAAAACAAAGTATAGTCAAACTGGACTATAAGCACCACCCCTCACTTCAGCTAGCCTGTCCCTTTAGGATTCCTGAGCTCTGACAGACAGCACTCCATGTGCTGGCACCCATCCTTGTCTTAGCCCTTACTCCTTGTGGAGTCAATTCTTTTCCTTACTTTATCTCCATCTTTACCTCTCTTACCCAATCAAATGCTTGGTTTCAGAGCCCCATATACTTCTCATAGTTAGCATTTGCATTTATTTGTATAATTATCTGCATACTGTCTTCTTCACCTTTGAGTAATAAAGCCGGACTCAATACCCCAGCTCACCGTTCTAACTCCAGCACATAGTTCGATGCCAGAACATAGTCAATGCTTAAAGTAAAGAGCTGTGCCTGCAAATGCAGGCCTGCAGCCTGCCAGGCTGATGCAGGAGTAACAAGAAAAGCAATGCAAGGACACCAAGGTGAGGATTTCCTGGCACATCTGGGGAACAGCAGGGGCTAATTACAGCAGCCTGTGGGAAATTTCCCATCTCTTCTCCTCTTTGCCTTAATGGTACTTTCCAGATAAAGTTTTCCTGCTCCTAAAACTGCCACAGTCTTTCCACCTCAACCCCTATTACCCTGTAGTTTGCATATTTGTATCCCCATAGCATTTATTATGATCCAAAATACGCCTGTCTTGAGTGGGAACTGCTCTTTTCCACAATATTAACTTGTAACATCAGTGTCTTAGGGTTTTGATTGCTGTGAAGAGACCCATGACCACAGCAGCACTTATAAATGAAAACATTTAATTGGGCTGCTTACAGTGTCAAAGGGTTAGTCCATTATTGCCATGGCCGGAAACATGGGGGCATCTGGCACCATGACAGACATGGTGTTGTACAAGGAGCTGATCCGTAGGCAGCAGGGAAGAGACAGGGTCACATTGGGCCTCAAAGTCCACCCTACAGTGACACATTTCCTCCAACAAGGCCAAACCTCCTAATAGAGTTACTCCTATGGGCCAAATATTCAAACACATGAGTCGACGGGCACCATACCAATTCAAACCACCACAATCAGGGAGTTCCTAATTTGTTGTATTCCCTATGTTTATAATGCCTAAGACATAAAAACTCAACAAATATTCTTAACAAACACATAATATAGAAGTTGCGAAAATTCTTCTCCATTCAAAATTATCTATATACAGGTTGAAATATGGAAAACTTGCAACTTTCCATACAAAGGCAAGACTGTTAGAATTTGAAGAGGAAATGTTTCCCATGGATTTATGCACTGAACACCTGGTTTCCAATATGGGACACTACTTTGGAAGATGCTAAAAACTTTAGGAGAAGGGGCCAAGATGGAGGAAGCAAGTCACTAGGGGCACGATTTGAAGGCTTGACTCCATCCAAGGTCCATTTCTCTCTGACTCCTGCCCATCACAAGTTGAGGAGCGGCTGCCATAGAGTCTCACTGTCAGGATGCTATTCTAGACCATGTATCGTGAAGTAACAGATCAAGGACAAATGACTGAATTAAGACCTGAAAAACCATGAGCCACGGTAAGTTCATGTCTCCCTCTCCTTCCTCAGCTGTTTGTCACTATGGCTGGAAGAATAGGGTAACTTACACACTGTCCGTTGGTGTAAGTCTATTTTTAGGTGTTAATTTTAATTTTCAAAGAATGGTCATATTATATGTCAACTTTTTTCTCTTTGTCCTAAATGGTCTTTATTTTCTATTAATGTCTAATACGTTTTGAAAATGTATTGGTCTGTGAAATCTAGAAGTCTGATATGTAAGATTGAAGTAATTCCTAAGAATGTCATTCCACTGTCCATGCCAAGGTATTGAACCCGACCCACTCTTCCATAGTCAAGTCAGTATCTTGATCTCCCTGATTCTTCTTCAGAACTGATTATCCCCCTCCCCTAAACCCTCCCTTTCTTTTATCCCTTTCCTAAATCTTTCTCTCTTCATATCTAGGATCTATCTAAAAACAAGAAACCCTTTTTGTTTTTACTACCCTAGCCTGAATTTATCCCACGACCATCTCTAGTTGAATATCAATGGGCCCAAGCTACCTCCAACAGAATCACTTGGTAGCGATTTTCTAAACAATAGTTTCTTGGTTGGTTGGTTGGTTGGTAGGGAGTGCCTCCCATGTGCTAGAGAAGAACGCTACCACTGAGCTTTCTCCATCCCCTTTTTACATGTTATTGTGAGACAGAGTCTCAAAGACTCAAGTCATGGGTTGAACTCACACTTTAGTTCAGAAAGGCCTTTAACTTCTGATCATCCTGTCTCTGTCTTCTGAGTAGCTGGGTGTACAGGCCCATGGCACTTAGCTCCAATGAGCTAATATTCTTAAAGACCTCCCAAATGATTTTGATGCATAAACTGATTTTTGTGTGTGTGTGTTTGTTCGTGTGTTTGTTTTTTGAGACAGGGTTTTTCCTCTGTGAAGCTTGGTAGTCCTAGAACTAACTTTAAAACCAGGCTGGCCTTGAACTCAGAGATCTGCCAGCCTCTGAGTGCTGGGCTAAAGGCGTGCAGCACCACTGCCCAGCCATAAACTGATTAAGAATACATAACTCATACGACAGTGCTGAGACTAGACATAAAATATGTTGAATAAAATTATATGTGCTCCTCTAGAGTTTCTTTTAGGGAACAAAGGAACAATTATTAAATAGGAATACACACACACACACACACATATAAAACCATAAGAGTTGCAGATTTAATCTTTATGACTTTTTCATTAAATATCAAATGGACACATTCCATGTTCAAATTATACACATGAAATAATTTAATAAATCATTTCAGATGCATACACTATTTATTTGACACAGATAAGCAGAAGCATTTCTGGAACAGCCTATGACAGGAGGACAAACACTACAAAGAGAGTGATGTGCTTAAGCTCAAGCTTACTAAAACAGGCAGCGAGCAAAGTTCAACTAAATACAGTCTGCTAACCTGCTTGTTGTTCTCGGCCATGGAAAGCTGCAGCGCCAGGAGCATGGAGTCTGGACCACATAAAGTGGTTCTTTCAGAGGTACAGAAAGCACGCCAGTTCCTCCTAAACTCTTTAATCATATCCAAGACAGACATTCTCTTAAAGGAGAACAGAACACAATGTTAAAGTGACTTGTTGTAATTGGAAATTAACATTTAACATGTGTAAGAAAGCATGGTTAGAAAAAAAAATAGTGAACAAGGGGTCATTTCATATTTACCAAGATTGCTTTTAATTAAATTTAGGCAAACAGAATACAATTTCTGCCCAATCATATTTTCCTCTAGTTTTCTTAAGCCAAATCTTTTGAAATAACAAAAATCCAACCTCCAATTTTGAATTCACATAAAACAGACACGCAAATTCTGCAAATTTATAATTATAGACATAGACACCAATAATTACATCTGTATTTTAAGACAGTTGTTCTAAGAAAAATGGCCCTATAAGTGGAGAACTGGAGGTGGGGCTCTCACTCCTGCAGTCCCCAGAGTGGCTCACTTTCTGCCCAACTGAATCTGGAACAGTTATGACCTGATTTGACTAGAAGACTACGAGATCATGAGAATTCTAAGTACACACCTTAGAGGTTTGTGCAAGAGTTAAAACAGTCGAGTTTTGATTAAGAGTGTTTGTGCTGAGCTGTTTTTATAAACTCTGTTTATGATGAACACCTGATTTCCTTCTGGGTCTGGCGTTTTTGGTGCACATTGGACAGGCTTACCTATGAGTCCAGTAAAGTCTGGCAGAGTTTCTAAGAACTTCCCGTGGTAGACAACACGGATGACTTTGTGACTCTACAGAAATGACACTCAGAAGCTCATGTCTGGTCTCCCTGGACTTCATTCCCATGCCTTTCCCCATCACCAACGCTATCCTATCCTTTTGCTATCACATACACAACTACACCTACACGCTGACGCCCCTGGTCCTCCTAGCAAACCGCCAGTCTTGGGGAGCCCTCACTCTCCTGCTGTCCTGAGCCTGCTGTACTAAACCCAGCTAACCCGCTGCAGAGGACACCTGAGAGAGCTGACAACTTATCCAAACTCCACAGAAAGAGGATCCCAGTCAACATGGAAGGTGAACCTCAGCAACGTGAGTCGTCTCTGTCCAGGCAAGCTGAGAAATCGCCTGATCCAACAGAATCTTAAGCAAATGCTTGGTTATTTTACAGTGACCACGGTACTGGTGTTTTGTTACACAGCAAAAAGATAATCAATATTTCCTCTAACACATGAAGCTACCCAATGTCAGATCCTTTTCAAACGTTCAACATTAATTACTTTGTTCAATTTTCGCGTGTCCTAATGACGTCAATCTATAATTATCTGCATTTGACACATGAAGAAAGTAATGTCCAGCGACACAAAGCTAGCATATAGCCGAAACGCATAAATCCAAGACTCATAATCCCAAGCCTGGCACTTACATCACTGTGTTTCATAACTTCTCCTAGATGCACACAATCAACATTAGAAATAATCTGGCACGCTGTGAACATTCTAGATACCAAACCAGTCAAGTCCCTCTTCTGCTTTCCTTCTTCCTGATGGCACTTACCCTTTCTTAAACGTCTGTGTGTGTGCTCACTCACATGTGAGCACATGTGTACAGAGGCCCAAGAGTGACACTGGGAGCTTCTCCCCCTCTGCTGTCCACCTCATCCATGACGGAATAATCTCTTGCTGAACTCAGAGCTCGCCATATCAGCAAGTCTGGCCAGCCAGCTTGCTCCAGGGATCTCTCGTCTCTGCCTCCTGCACACTGGGATTACAGACTGTACACCAGCATTTATTTCCTTCCTACCTCCCCATTATTCATTCCTCAAGGGGCATCTACGTCATCACGTGACCTGGCTGTGACTAGTGCAGCCACACCGATGTGGGTAGCTCAGACCTGTCCAATAATTGTGAAACAATAAATTACAATCTGCAGTGCAATTTAAACAGACGGCAGATGATCATAACCAGTAATCTTCATTGCTGGGAGCTTCCCTCCTCTTAAAAATAACACACTACCTCTTTAAAAAAAAAAACAGAAAGTGAGGAAGTAATAAAAACATAAGCTATCATCAGTGATATGATTAGTTTGCCTGAAGTACTTTAAGGTTTAGATTTCTATCCAAAAAAAAAAAAAAAAAAAAAAAAAAAGCAAAAAAAAAAACCTAGAACTAAATCAAATCCCTGACTCTATCGTGAATTATGGGATCTTAGCAACTTACAGCACTTCTCTATGCCTCAACCTCCTTGCTGTGAAATGCAAAAAGTTCCTACCTCCCATAGTTTTGGGAGAAGTAAAAGACACAACTACATCTAAAGCTTTTATAGCAACGCCAAGCACATTTGTTATGATCGTGCATCATGGGTTTTTTAAGTTGTTTTGAGTTAAAATTGAAAGAGCATTACAACTAGTGTCAGAGCCAATAGTCTCATCTAGGAGGCTACAACTCTTTGGAAGGAGGGAAATACTAAATATTTGTGACATTCAGGCCATACAGTCTGTTTCACAACCACGTACCTTGTCATAGCAAGGCAACAAGGAACAATGTATAGACAAGGAAACATAGCTAAACCCCACTAAAAAAAAATTCTTTTATTTTTGGACACCAAAACCTGTTTTATATAATCTTCAGAAGTCACAAAATTTTCTCCTTTAATTTTTTTTTCACCGACCATTTAAACATGGAAAAGCAATGTTTAGCTTTGGAACCGGCTATTGACAAATGGGCGCTGCAGCTGGCTTGCCAACCTCTACTGTCGCCCCAGCTCTTTCCCCAGCTGCCTAAGCCTACATTCGTTCTGGACCTGGCTGCCGCGGTAAATGTATTATCACATGGGAAGCAGGGCGATGCCTCACCCTCTGCTCTTATCTCCCAGCCGTTGTGAAGAATTCATGAGACATGGAATATGGAAAATGAATGGAAAAGGGCCCTACAGAGGAGTGACGAAAAAGGGACAAGGGGAGGATGAAAGAGATAGAAGGTAGCAGAAGTAATAAACTCTTACTTCAAAAACTGGACTAGAACTAGAAGGTGAACTAGAGCAGAAATTCTAAGACAGAAAGTTGCCCCTGGAAGCTAAAATGAGAGAGTGCCAAACGGCCCGGCATCCCTGCTACCACATCCATACATTCATTAGCTGAGCACCGCGATGAACATACATTTCTTCACGTCCACACAGGAGACGGGGTTATCTACTTAAAAAGAATTACGAGGCATCAGTGAAGCAAAGCAATATACAGCTTTCTTATTGCCAGCTCTTAGAAAACACTGCATAAAGGGATGACAGCCGACACTGTTCCTCTCCTAGTCCGGTCCTGAAATGTCCCTCTGAAGGATGCAGCAGCTGACACACACTCTGGAAGTGGGAATCTATACAGGGCGTGTGACCGGACTGCCAGCAGATCTGGACGGCCTTCATGCAGCCCAGCTACAGACAAGTCGCACCCTCGCGACCTCCCGGGTCCTTCTGCACAGGACCCTGCGAAGTCAGGGCGCAGCCACTGCCCAGACAACGCCGTCGCCTGGCGACGAGGCATTCCCGCGGTCACCCGAAACGCCTTCTCGAAGAAATGGCGAGGTTCACCTACTTCGGGGGAGCCCAGATGGGTGCGAGCCAAAGGAGGAGCAGCGCTGCCAGGACACCGACACCGGAAGGCGGACATTTGAATGGCCTCGGCGTGCCTTTCAAATCTCGCGGCCGGACCCAGGAACCAATCGTCGCGCTCGACCTCCGACCCGGAAGCCGAACTGGCGAGCGCCGGGCCCGCCCACAGCCGGGAAGCTGTGCTCAGGTCGCCCTCCCAGCCTGCGGGGTGCGTAGGTATCGAGCGCGGCGGGGTCGGGGGCCGCCAGCCCGTGACGCTCCCCCAGGGACCCTTCCCTGCTCCCCGGAGCTCTTCCCTGTGATTTCGCGGGGTGGGCGTGGGTTGTCTCCGGAGAGGCGTCGGGGGGGAACACCCGTGAGGGACTGGATCTCCTAGGTGGGCCCTGAGAATGTCGACCCCGGGCTTTAGAGACCTGGAGGTGTGGGAGGGGTCGCCTTCCTGTCCGGACCGCGAATCTCTTGCACGTCCTATTAGCTCTCTGCTCTATGGACGTCTGTGGTCACACGCAACACGTGTCCAGTCTGGAATGCTCATTTATTAAGGTTGTTATTGATATATAAGCTCCCTGAGGTGAGGACTCATCTTAAGTCTCCGCAGATACTCAAAAGATATTTAATGTATTTGTTCTGAGCCTAGAGTGACACCTCGTCTTAATCAACAGCAAATTAAAATTGTTCTCTTGTGGGAATGCTATTCAGTGCCCGCTACCTGTCCCGCCACAGATACGTTGAGCCTTGTGACTGGCGTAATAGCATGGCTATCTCACATTACCTCAAATTCTGTGTTTCATATCTGCTCGTTTTATTGCGTGGGTTGACGCTGATTTGTAACTATCCCTAGACCATAATATCCTTCTAGGCTCTTCGACTCCTTGTCTCTTTAGGCAGGGTGGGAGTTTCCAGTTCATCCTACATTGGATGGAAATTTGGCTAGACTGTCAAATTGGAATATTAAAAGTCATATAATTAAAACAAATATTGTAGCCTAGTCTTAAGAAAGGCAAATGTGTGTATCTGTGTTTTCTCTAGCATATAGACCTAATACATACTAAATCTTTTCAATTCTTTCCCCATTTCTCCACTTGGCAAGATCTTAGGCAAAATGGGGGCTATTGGTAGTTCCAGCTTTTATGGTACTCTTAAGTGTGATGGTGTCAGTAAAATGCAAAACATGCCAACTACAGATAGTGCTGTATCTCTGCTACATACTAATTTTAGGAATCTATTTTTATTAAAATTTTTCAGCCTTTAAGTGTGAACATGTGTGTGTTCATTAATATAAGCAGAATTCTCTTTCAGGCTGCCCCAGGTATTGCAATGCCTCGCCTTATTTTGATTCCTCCGTTGGAAAACTTAACAGTTTTATTTTGTCTCTGGCCCACAGTTTCGTGACAGTCAATCGAAGGCTATTTGATCCTCACAACTGCTCAAGTTTTGAGATCCAAGATGAAGCAGGATGCAACAAGAAATGCCGCCTACACCGTGGACTGTGAAGACTATGTCCATGTGGTAGAATTTAATCCCTTTGAGAGTGGGGACTCCGGAAACCTAATTGCATATGGTGGCAGTAATTACGTGGTCATTGGCCTGTGCACGTTTCAGGTTAGTCTACAGACTGCAAGGAGTGATGGTGGAGATATTTTATCAATAACAAAATATACAAACCAAAACTAAACGTTCAAAGTGTGTTGCGCTTAAATACAAGAAAAAAAAAATGACTTGACGATCCATAGAGAAAGGCTCTCCCAGTCGTAATGATTGAGACTTCTGTATACATTGCATAGATGGTAAAATAAAAAGTATGAAGCTCTTCTTAACCCAGTGATTACTAGTGCAATATTCTTATATATTCATAAAGGGTATGATGTGACTGAACACTCGCACATGTATTTACATGTATTAAAAAGTCCAATTAAATGCAGTCCAGTTCAAATTTCCCTGCATTGTAATGTGTTATAGGAAACAGGGTTACGCTGAAATTCTAAAGAAAATTTCTTGGAAAGAATCTGTAGCTTTTGTAATATTCGTCTTTCCTAGCAAAGTGTGTGATTGCATGTACAGCAGGCAGTTCATAGCTCCGAACTCTGGAGCCACATTGCCTAGACATTGACTTTTGAATAACTGTACTTAATTAAACCTTCATTAGATAATTAACCTCTCTTCTCTAGATGTGAGGAATATGATGTCCAGTACGGTTTGTGAGGGGTAGGGAGTGGGTGCATATCAGTTTCTCATAGGACATATGACACATTGTAACCCGGATGTGAGTTTTAGTTGTGGTCGAGGGGGGCAAGAGTGACAGCCATGCCCTCATAGTTAATCATCAAAGGAAAATTGCTTCTAAGAGACCCCATACCATGTTTTCTCACAGGAAACTGAGGTTACATATAGGAAACACTCAGCAAGGAGGATTCAACCCTCTGGAATTTCTGCAATTCTTTGTTTACTAAAGTAATGTTTACAGGACTATATTTTTATGACCCCCTTGACCTAAGTTCAACTGGACTGTCATAATCACAAGTCATGTGATTTAACCAAATAATGTAGCATTGTCTTAAGGAAGGTTTATTAAAAACTTTCTCTAATGTGGGCCACTAATCTACAGAAAAGCAGATAAAAACCCATATGGTGGGATTGTGTTTCCCCTCATTACTGTCAATGCTTTCTGAATTAATAGATGCACAAAGAATTGTGTTTCCAAATACTGATAAATATATTTACTTCTAGTTTAAATTCAGTTAGGAAATACTGGAAGAAAGAGAGAAAGGAAAAAAATTAGGAGAAGAAAAAAGAAGACAGGTAACGAGGAGAAAGGAAAACGAGAAGGGAGATGCACGAAGTATCTGTATGGCTTGTCTTTATTGATCCTCGGATCTGTGAGAGTGACAAAGTAGGTCTTCCAAGTTATCTAAGGAAAAAACAATAAGGCTTTCTGTTTTCCTAGCCCGTAATGAACACATTAGAGATAGAGCTGAGTACCACTGGCCTTTCCATTCCAAAAGAGAATAGTTTCCATTCTGTCTCAAAGATGTTTAGGGGATTACATAACTACGAAATGAGAACAAGATTTAGACCTCTTTCTAAACTCTGTTCTTTCCTTCTGTCAAACCCATTCTGTTTCTATTGAAAATCAATAGTTCAAATATTGTGAAGGATTTATTTTCATTAGTTTACCCTTGGAGATTCAAAAGAAATTACAGTTCTCATGTATCTGTTCAAATGCTATTGAACATTCCCACTCTTTCACCCTGGAACCTTTAAGTTTGGTCTCACCCAATTTCATATCTTCATTTCATAAGAAAAATTTATATAAATGGAACCAATTTCCCCATGCCTGTCCGAAACAATAAGATTATCAGGAAAGACTGAGTCCGGAAAGTTTGGAGTCTCAGCAGAAGCGTTTCAGAACCTCATGCTGTCCTCAGAAGGATCCAGAAATGTGGGTCGAAATGGTAGACTTGTTGATTGTTAGACATTTGTTCAAATGCGTGAGTACTCAGGGCCAGGAAATTCAGAAATAAAAATTGGTAAAGACCTTATCCCCAAAGAGATTCTTAAATCAGTACTCTTGTAAAAGCCTCGTTTATAAATGACCAAATGAGGATAAAGTTTCGCAGCTTGTTCACTCCTGAGTAATAAAGACGTCTCTAGCTGGGCTCAAATGAGAGCATTGATCTAGGCAAGTACATTGTTTTTGTGGAGAAAATGAAACAAAGATACCTTAATCCTTTGAATAGCCAACTTCATTTAACAAGTATTTATTGAGTTCCACTTGTATGCCAAACTCTTGTGTTCAGATCCAAACATTGTTTAACAGATTGGACCAAGTCAAACAAGCAAAAATTTAATAAAGAAGACTATAAGTCTTAAGACAATAGACTTAGAACTGGGAAGGGAGAATTAGGACTTAGAAATTTTAGCCACCTGAATATTAACACGAGTCAACACAATGGGGAGCCAAGCAGAGCTGATTCAATACTATCCAGTTAGAATATAATATGAGCCACAAATACAAGTTTAAATGTTACGATAATAACATAAAAGTAGGGCCATGAGATAGTTTAGTCGGGAAGGCACTTCTTGCCAAGCCTTGTGACCTAAGTTCAATCCCTGGAATCCATGTGGTGGGAAAAAAGAACCAACTCCTAAAAGTTATCATCTGGGTTCAGCCTGTGCACATATACACACAGTCCCATACAATAAAAATAAAAGGTAGGATTAACTTTCAACATTTTACTAAGGTAACTAAAATACTTCATATAAAATCAATATGATACGTCAAAAAATAATGTAGTTGATATGTTAATAGAGATCTTTGTATATATTTTATACCTTATAAAGTAAGTATATATGCTGGCTGCATTTCAAATGTTTTAGGTTCTATGTGGCTACTAGCTACCTTATCAGACAGCACAGTTCTCTATAAATTGATAATGTTTTATATAATCTTTATTTCTCAGCATTGTACTCAGATTAAAAGGAGGTAGTGTATTTGAAAACAAATGTCAGAGCCTTATTAGAATTGTTTAAAACTCATATGGAAGTGGTATTGGACTGGCAAAGTTTGACGTATCACCTCCGTTTGTTTGCAGTTGTTGCTTCATTCTGGCACTAAATTATGCTCTGAATGTGTTCACCTATTAGAAATGGCTACAGCGAGGGTTGCCATCACTAAGTGTTCACCTATTAGAAATGGCTACAGCGAGGGTTGCCGTCACTAAGTTAAGCTTGTTCTCTACACTTCCAGAGACAGAACTGGACATTAAGTAGAATTTACATGGAGACACTCTTGCTTCATGCTAAGAGCTCTAATAGCCCTAACTACTGCTGAGTCTGCTTCTCCCAAAGCAGCCCTTTCTTTCTCATTGGAAGTGTTCAGAGAGCTATTCTTTTTTTAATATTTTTTCAGATGTCTCAATAAAAATGAAAGCACTAAATAAGAGTTGCATTAGATACACCAGCCTTAATTTACTGAAATTCTGTACGTGGCTCTAAATGGGTGCGGTAGAAAGCCTAACACTTTCAGATCCTTTAATAACCCTTCACCGACTGGGCTGTTCCTCAGCCTCACATTGCTGGAGCCTTGTGTAACCATTTCTATTACAGCAAGTTTT